CCCGTCCGCAGCCCCGCGCGCCCGGCCCTGGCGCCGCCCTCCCCCTCCTCCCCCGGCCTCCGCAGCCCCTAGGACGCCCCTCCGCAGCCTCCGCACCGGGCGGGGCCCCTCCGCCGCGCTCCTCCGCCCTCTGCCCCCGGTCCGCGCTCCCGGAGGCGTGGGGAGCGCCGCCCCCGACCCCAGGGCTCTCTCCCCTAGACCCCGAGGCCCCCCCTCCCCCAGCACCTCCCTCCTCTCGTGCCTCTACGTCTGCGATTCCCCGGCGTCAAGACCTGGCCGCACTCACGCCCACCCGCCTGCCCGCGGCGAGCAAGCCTGAGGAAGTTGGTCTAGGACACAGGGTGGGTGAAAGGGAAGAGGGGGTAGGCGTGCAGGGACCGGCGGGGTGCGGGGGGAGCCCGGGTGCGGGGAGGTTTGAGGGGGTCCCGGGTACGCGGGGCGGAGGGGCACGGCGGGGGAGCCCGGGTGCGGGAGAAGGCGAAGGAGGGAGCCTAAGGGGAAGAGGAACGGCGAGGGAGAGCCCAGGCGGGAAGGAGGTCGGGATGGGGGCGCCCGGGTGCTCAGGGATGGGGGCGAGAGTCTGACTCTGGGTGTTGCCTGGGGGGTTCGGGCCCCGGGGCCCTCCAGAGCAGCTGCTCGAGATCGTGCTGGTGGGGGAGGGGAGTAGAGGTGCTGCCAAGCTGGAGGCCAAGCCTTGGATGAGTCTCGTTTGGGTTTTGGTCTAAAACGGCCTTCTCCGAGACCACGCAGGAATTTCCGCCAGAGAGGGTGTGGGTGGGACGAGGGCCTCCCCCAGGCCTCCCTGGCCTCTCCCCGAAGGAGACCTGGGGGGGGAGCTCTAGAAGGCGCTCGGAGGTCCCACCGCGCCTGGCGGCGGTCCTGCGTCCCCGGCTCCTTCCACTCGGCCTCCGCCGCTGCAGAAATGAGGCCCGGGAGCCGGTGACTCACCCAGCCGGCTAATTGCAGCGTTAAGTAACTTTGAGCCGGATCCCGAAGAGGCGGGCGTGGCTGCGGCGAGGGGGCGCGCGGGGAGGAGGCGCGGGACAGGCCGGGGTCTCTGAGAAGACGCCTCCATTCCTGACACCCGCTTAGCGAGTTCTGGCCCCTGGAGGCGTCTCCCAGGGCTCGCGGCTTCGTGCCCTGGGTGCGGTGTCCGCCGGTGCCGCGTGAGCAGGGGCGCAAGCCCCCAGAGGGTCCTGGCGTCTGGAGAAGGCCGCACCCACATCCTCAAGGCAGCCGGCGCGCAGGGCCCCACGCCCACATTTCACGGAAACCATCTGCCCAGCGAGTCTGTGCGAAGGCGCTCGTGCGGCTCTTTGGACATTTGCGTGGGAAGGACTCAGGGAAGGAGCGGATTTCGCTGTATTTTTAGCAGCGAGCGCAGATTTTAGAACATCAGCTGAACCTCCTCGTTCTGTCCTGCTCCTCATGCACGATGACTTGCCAAAAAAGTAGGAATAGTGAGCCTTCTCCACATTTATGGTGTATAGGTTTTGAAAGGACAGTGTGTAGATCAGCTTGTATAATAATCAGGCGCCCACGCGCCTGAGCGGAGTTGCCAGGAGCTGACTTCCAATGATTATTTAGGTTTCCAGGGAGACAAGGTTTGCAGCCACCTCCGTGGAGAAGGATGGAGCCACTTCTGCATTCCCAGTGCGGTGCCTGGGGCCAGACTGATTAGGCTTTGGGGGAGGAAGGGGCTGTTGGTTCACCCTCTGTGCCCTGGAAGGAGGCCTGAGTGCGGGGCCGTGGGGTGGCCGTCCTGGGAAGGGCTGCGGGGCAGCTCCTGCCATCCCAGGGCCCGTGCAGGAAGGTTAAGGTCAGTATTTCTCAGCTCGCCTTCAGCACCCCGCCTCCTTCACTAGACCCCTCCTTCCTCTGCCCACTTCCCTGTCCCTTAAACTCACCCCACCCCTTCCTGCCACAGGTCTTTGCACATGCTGTTCCCCCTCAGCTGTCATGTTCCTTGCCACACCTCATCCAGCTCCTGCCTTCTCATTTCTCAGCTCCCGGCTTCCCCTCGCTCAGTAGCAGCTAACCTCCGGTGGCTCCTGCTGTCCTCCAGACCGTGGGCTTTCTTATTCAGTCCTTGCGACAAGCCGTGAGGCAGGGGTCCTGCCGTCCTCCCAGAGGCTGTCCACGAGGAAGTCAGTGGCCTGTGCGGCAAGGACTTAAACCTGGGCTCTGTGCACAGCCCCCCACGGCTCCCCACCTCCCTGCACACACCACCTCCCACCCCCATTAGCTCCCTGCACTCCACCTTTTTGCACCCCAGCCCCTGGCAGAGATCTGGGAGAGATCCATAATGGGATCTCCCAGTGGCCTAAATGTCCATCTTCCACACCAGACTGGGAGCTCCGAGTAGGTGTTAATGCCTAACTTAACCGCCCCACCACCACCATCAAGACTTAGCTGTGCCCTGGCTGTGTGAATGAATGAATGGGAGTTAGTGCCAACCTCGGGCAGCTCTGTCCTGTGCCAGGAATCTAAATGCCAGTCTGGTTCTGCTCACAGGGAGAACAGGGCCAGATGCCACAGGCCAGGTCGGCAGGAAGAAAAGGCACCCACCTCAGGTTGAGGGTGGGGGAGGGGGCAGGAGGAGGGAGGGGACAGCCGCTTGACAGGAGAGCCTGTGAACTCGGGAAAGACTAGCAGGTGTTAATCACCTTGAGCAGGTGCCAGTGTAACTTTGCCCAGAGGAGAGGGAAGCCCTAGAAGGGCAAGAGCCTGCTGGGGTGTGTGTTGTGGAGAGGCACCCCCAGGCGGTGACCCGGGGTGTGGGCGTGGGGGTGGGGCGCTGCTCTGGCGGCGGGAGGCCCTGCCTCCACCACGGCCCCACCCCCACTCGCTGCCTGGCTCCCAGCAGTCGCCTCTTCCCCCAGTGACTGTCTGAGGAAGTGAGGGCAGCAGTCTGTAGTCTCCGCCATACAAAGCTTTTGGGGGTGTCTTGGGCTCACAGGGACCCTGACCTGAGGCACTCCCACAGTGAGGGTCTCTGCCGTGTACAGTTCTGACAACTGTAACCAGGTGCGTCAACTGAAATGGCCCATGCACATTCTGAAAGTTGATTCCACTGCTTTCTGGCAGAAATCTTTCCCCCAACTCCAGCCAGGCTCACCCGTGAAGCCCCTTCCGTCCCCGCGCCCCCTAACGCACAGCATCCCTCCCTTCCTCAGCACGCCCAGAGAAGCTGTGGTGCACAGTGAGGAGACGTGGGGGCCTCAGGGAGCCCACTCTGGAAATAAGCACCACCCTTCTGAGACATGATTTCATTCAACTTGCCGTTGGTAAAGCTGTTTCTTGTTGTCCCATGTCTCTCCTCTTACATTGCTGGATACCAAGCCACTGTGTGAACATGCCACAATTTACTTATCCATTACACAGATGACGAGCATTTGTTTGTTTCTAGTTTGGAGATATTGTGAATAAAGCTGTTGTCAATTTTCTTTTGTGTGCACGGACGTTCTTGGGCATGCCTTTTTTTCCAGTAAATGTTCAGCTTTTTGTGTCCTTTTGAGACAAACCGTGGATGTGGTCAGAGTTGGGTGAGGACCTCCAGAAAAAGCAAGACAGGATATTTGCAGTCAGAGCAACGTAACTACATGCAAGCAAAGCTCCCTACCAAAACTCTGTGTTCAACATTAAGCTCTAGAGTCATTCTTCAGTGAGATCAGTTAATATTCCCCAGATAAAGAAGAGTAGCACATGTTTTTATTATGCTAATCATTTATAATCATGTGTAAGATTCACTTAAACACGCTAAAAGGCCCAGGCCTATGTGCTGTCTTTCCTCCTTCAGATCTGATGAGGTGACTTGCAAACTGGACAACTAATTTAGCATGCAGGCCCAGCCATAAACAACATATTAAAAGGCAAGAAGGATTCTACCTTCAAGATTTCATTTTAACACCCAGGAAGTTAAGAAGTAAGATTCTTAACTTACTCTTTAGCAAACAATGCTTCAACCCACCTTGGGAGCTGGGCAGGCAGCCCTGTTTGGTATGCTCCCAGACGAAGACGCCGGTACCCCAGGGAGAAATCAGAGCAGGAAGTTCCTTGTGTTAATTCTAAATATTCAGGGACCACTTAACAAGTCCACACCCCTAAGCCTTTTTTCATGTTCCCCAAAATCCTCAACTGCCTGTAAATCCCCTAGACAACGCACCACTATGGGCTCTCTTGTCCCCTCCTGGCGCGAGCCAGCAGCTCTGTCCTCTCGCTGTATCTCTCACTAAAAGCCTCTCCCTGGCTCTCCTACCTTGAGTGTTTGCGAAGTTCATCTTCGACTCTGCGAACACGAACCCCGGCATCACTTTTTGATTGAGATACAATTTATGTGGCATAATCACTAATTTTAAATGTGTGATTCAGTGAGTTAAGACAGCTGGCACATTGGCAAAAGTCACCACCATGGTCACGGCACAGAACTGTTCCAACCCCCTCTTATAGATGAGCACCACATCTGCTCCTCCACCCAAGGCCTCACACAACTGTTCATCTGCTTTCTGTGTGTAAGTCCCGGGAGAGGAAATCTCGGGGCAAAATGCCTCTGAAAACCGAAATCAGTCAAAGGGAGAAATGAAGTTTAAAATCCGTTTATTGCTTACAGACCACAGTCCCAGCCCTTCTCTTTCCCGCTCCAGCAGAAGCAAAACCAGCCCTCTGCTCACCTCTCAGGTACAGATAAGCCTTGTGTTGCCCAGGTCATTACCCATTTATATGGAGAACTTCTCTCCACTGGAGTATATGCAAATGCACTAAAGCCATCCTTGTTTCCTCCTCTAAATGCCTATTGATATGTAGATGTACTAAAGCCAGGTGAGATATTCTGGAAA